CAGAGACGTCAAGTATCTTGCCCGAGGTCACACAGCTAGCAAGTGGCAGAGCTAGGCTTTGAACATACATAGGTAGGTCTCCGTCCTGGGATTTTATAGTGAAGTTCTTATCCCTTGTTGCTGCCAAGCATAGGTCAAGGCCATCCTTCTCTCCCCTGTTGTTTCTTCCCACCTTTGTCCCCAGCCCCAGTGTCTGTGCTTCTGAGCGGTGGTCCTCCTGGAGCCCGGCCACTGCTCGGGGCTGCGGCTGCTGGGGTGGTCTGTTTCCAGGAGCAGGAAAAGGAAGGTCTCAGTGCTTCTCCCTTGCCTTGGCCCCTTCCCATGCAGGGCACCTTTGACCCCGTCGTGTGCCCCTTCTGTGCACTGGCCAAAGCTTCCACCGGCCTCACGGGCCAGGGCCTCCCTGCTGGGCAGGCTACAAACAGGGGAATGTTCCTTCTCCCTAGAGCAGCCCAGCCCTCCGGCCCCTGCGTTTCGTCCCAGAGAGCCAATTTGGGGGCTGTTGTTTCTTAGCCAATCTGTGTCCTCCTTGCCACGCTGGCCACGGCTTGCTGAGAAAAACACTTGAGAGCCTTTCATTCTCCACACCCACGTACTTAAAATACCAGGCCCGTAGGCCATTTTAATGAGGGGATTTGGCTATAACACGTGTGCCCTGGGGCACACGTCCCACTTCTGCAGGTGCCGGCCAGCGAGGGCTGAGTCCCGGCAGGGCCGGGCCAGAGGAGGGCGGGTGGAGGGCAGAGCCCCGGGGCCGTCAGGTGTGCCCGTTGGCGAGCCAGGGCCCATTGTCATGAAGGGTGCCAGGGCTGGTGCAGGACGACAAAGGCAGCAGAGGGCAGGGCCGTCGTGTGGTGGAAGAATGCCCCATGCACGGTGAGGAAGAGCCAGCGCTCTGCCTATGAGATGATAAGCTAACGTGCTTCCGCCCCAAGCTGTAAGCGAGAGCCCATTGCGAGGGAGGGAGGGAGGCCACGACATCTCCTCTTCGGTGAGCCACGTGACTAGGGCCTGCCACCTAGTAGGTAGCGTTTGCTGGGCATGAACGACCTGTGGCTGCACACCAAATGAAGGTGTAAAATAACAAGAATTGTGACTATGAGCAGCGACTTCACAGGTATTCACTTTGGTCGAAATCCATTCCTGATGAAGCAGGCTAGTCTGTGGTCAACCAGGAGGGCGTCATAAGCGCTCAACTGCCAGAAGCCCAGATTCAGCTCAGTAAGAAAATGCTTTTGAACTATTTACCTGGGTTTATAGTTGGCGGTCAAGTACAGCTTGTACAGGAGAGTCACTGGGACAGTCTTCACTTTTTTGGGCAGTGGGAGAGCACGGATAAAGTACCATGAGCCCAGATTCCTGGTGCTTGTGCCGCTGGGTTTGCAGGTAGAGATTTATGATCTCAGTGACAATATCAGGAAGAATAGTAAACATAAACCTCAGGGATCTGGGTTCTGTTATATATATGAGCTGTGTGACCATGGGAAAATTACTTAACCTCTCTGAGCCTTTGCTACCCACATTAATCAAGGACAATAAAATCTGTCTTGCTTATTTCATGAGATTATTGTGAGGACCAAATGAAACACTATGTAGGAAAGTATTTTAAAAGTCCTAAGTTCTACACAGACATAAAAACACCAATATTAAGAATACAATACTTCTTTGTTGTCCTTTAGGAAGTCGTGGACAGGGCGGTTGTAGGAGAGCCACCATAGGAGCGGGACTGTTTAAGAGCACAAAACACACGGGTGCCTGTAGAGCAGTTGTCTTGTGTGTAGCACCTTGACTGGACCTCTTGTGACATTTCGTATCTGTACTGGGTTCAATGTTGTTCCCTAAAATTTCATGTCCGCCTAGAACCTCAGAATATGACCTTATTTAGAAATAGGGTCCTTAAAGACGTAATCAAGTTGAGACAATGTCGGACTGGATTTGGGTGGGCCCCAGTCCAATGACTGATGTCCTTGGAGAGGGAGATTTGGAGGCAGAGGGGACCGCGGCTGGAGTCCGTGATGAGCTTGGGGTGCTGCAGCTGGGAGCCAGGGAGGGCCCAGGGGCGCTGGGACCCACCCAAAGCTGGAAGAGGTGAGGACGGGTCCTGCCTGGAGCCTTCAGAGGGAGTGTGGCCCTGCCGACACTTTGTTTTGGACTTCTGGCCTTCAAGAACTGCGAAAGACTCAATTTCTGTTGTTTTAAGCCACCCAGTCCTTGGTAATTTATGACGCAGCCCCAGGAAACCAGTACAGTATTTTTATGAGCTCTGAGATGCTGGAGTTGCCGGCAACAAGGGAAGCACACGAAGGCCCACACACCTACACGGCCACACACTCACACATGGGCTGGCCGCGTTCTCGGAAGACGAAAATCAGAGGGCTGAAAGTGACGTTGTGTGTGTCCCACTAGTCCCTCACTTTGCAGACGAGTAAACTCGGATCTGGAAAAGTAAAATCATTTGTACAAGATCTCAAAGCTTTTAACTCTCTTGCTGGAAGAGCCACCTGTCTCTCTGTCCCTTTCTCTCCTACACATACACCCCCAGACCTGTCAGGCCTGGGGCAATGTCATTATCCATTGCTGGTGTCTTCAAGGTCCTTTTTTTTTTCTCATTTTAATTCCCACTTTACCCTGGAGCTCCTTCTCCTTCTCACCCCTTCCCACCTTCCTGTGGGGGACACATGGGGGTTACAGGACAGGATCCCTGCCCTTGGGGAGACCAGCCCTATATAGCCACAATCCCGGTCAACCTGACATGCTAATTATTCAAAGGCAAAGAGTGACTTATGAGGCAGCTCCAATGGCCACCAAGAAGCGACTGGTCATCAAGGAAGGCTGGCTGACAAACGAGTGCCTGCTGGGCCCCGGTCGTTGGAGGCAGGAGGACTCGAGCAAGGGGTGGCCTGGGTGCTAGAGGGAAAAAGACCCCAGAGTCACAATGCCATGGCTTATAGGGGAACTCAGAGGACATGGGCCAGGAGTCAGGCAGGTAGAAGAAAGGGAGCGAGTGAGAAATAACTCCAGACAGAGTTTTACTAGTGAGAAGACTCTAAAAGCTGGGACTCAATCTCGATGGTGCAGGTAATAACCCTTGTGGGTTCTTGACAAAGTGGGGGGGACAGCCTGACTTGTAGGACAGTGGTTTGCCAGCCAGGGAGTGGTCGCTTGCAGCTGCTCCAAGGCCACAGCTACCATCGCTCCTCCATCTGTCCTTGGAAAGCCAGCAGGTGAGCAGTGACGTGGGTGGCTGCCCTCGACACCTTCCTCCACATCACGTGCCCTTCTCGCAGGACCCAGCCAGGGCCTCTTCTGCCCGTTCCTCTGCTTCAGCCAGATGCAGGGGAGGACCCCACCTGGGTGTCGCCTGGTAACATCTGAAGGCTGTCCCAAAGGTGGCAGGTCCCTAAGTCTCATCTCTAGGTTCCGGGGAGACCTGGGAAAGGCGGATCTGGGCACAGGGCCCCCTGGCACCCTGGAGCTCTGCTCCTGGAACACCACTACCCAGACGACAACCTCAAAGCGTCACCTCCTCTGTTAGACGGGACAGCCGAGACCGCACCGGGCAAAAGCAGGCTTCCTCGATCCTCACTCGCTATTGTACTTTTTATCGCAGACTTTAACTTAGATAGGTTGCAAATCCCCGGGGATTATCCGGTGGAGGTTTTTCATGATTAGGAATTGTGCCTTGCTGTGGGCTACAGCTTATATCTTCATTGAGCATTTTTCCGTAGGCTTTCTTTATATTAAAACTACGTGGCAGTTGAAAATATTCTACTCTTTCTCACTTGGAGAAGAAAGATAATTTGAGTTTTAAAATGGTAAATGGCTTTTGGAGCAGATGAGACAGTGGATGAGCATGGTTTGTTTTCCTTTTGTGTATTTCTGATTTCGTTTCATGCTACATGATTCAGGGGAGAAACGGTGATAATTGAAGAATGACTGTATTAATATACTTAGTCAAACAGGGTGAAGACCCTGTTACCGAGCTGCAGGTAACAGAGAAGAGAAATAATGAAGCCAACACAACACACAACACATGCACACACCTTTGAATACCACGTGTTAGGTACTGTTTTGACAGTTTTACCCATTTCAACCCATTTAATCTCCCCAAGAACTCTATAAGGTAGGAAAAGGTGCATGTACCCATTTTCCAGGTAAGGACACTGAGGCACAGAGAGGTCCAGCAACTTGCCAAAGGTCAGCCCAGACACAGTTCAAACCCAGAGTCCATGCTCTGGACCTCTTGGCAAAGAAGAAGTGTTTTTAAATTATTAAACTTAGGCAGGGAAGATGCTCTCGCCTTTTGTAAGACATCTAAAATGTTTACATGGCACTTACGTGCGTATTTTTATTGCTAGTACTTCCTGAATCTCAGTCTATCAGTCCTATCTCCTTACATCCATTTGTTGACCATAAATTATGATCTGGCCAATCCTAGGAGTGCCTCTAATACCATCTGGCATTTCTAAATAGTATTTCAAATCACCCAGAATTAGTATTTTAAGAATACAGAGAGAATAATTCTAATGTCGCCTATTCTCAAACTTAGAAATTCTATCTTTTCTAATCCTCAGCGGTACCGAGCTGGAGGGGAGCGATGGACTTAGTTTCTTTCACTCCTCCTCGGGCTGCGTTGTAAATACTTGGGGGGCTGCAGGGGGCTGGGGGTGGAGAGCCGCCAATCTGACTCGATGGTTCCCTGGAGTCTTGAGCAGACAGAAAATAAATTCTACTCTTTCTTGAGCCCACGTTATTTATGAATGATTAAATTAAAGCCATATAACTATGCGAAGTGTCACACCTAGACTAATACCGTAAGTGTGCAGGATGTAAGGAAAGCCAAACTCAAAGGCGCATTGGAAAAACCAGGAGTTTGTGCTGAAGGACGGCCGTTTTTTCCAGTGTAGGTCTGGAAAGCTTAAATGAGTGATCGGTTACCCTGTGGCTGTATTTAGGCCATCTTGCTTCAGTCTTTCTTGTTCTCTTTTGTGTCTCAACAGGGAAGAGCTTCACTCTGACCATCACCGTCTTCACGAACCCACCACAAGTCGCCACCTACCACAGAGCCATCAAAATCACAGTGGATGGGCCCCGAGAACCTCGAAGTAAGTGGGGGCCCCTTGACAATGGAACATCTGCGGGGCTGGGACACTGAGGGGGGGGCAGGGACCGTGTCTTTAACCTCTGCACCTGCAGGGCAAAAAAAGTAGTTCAAGGTCAACACTCTTACTCCTCTTAAGGTTATTTCTGAGCATTGGACTCTTTCTGAAGCATCCTCTTAGACGGCGAAAGGAAATTAGGCCGACTCAAATGCATGCTAGAACCATTTCAGGGCTGCATGAGACTACGGGCTGCTTGTTCAAGAGGATCAGAAAAAAAAAAAAAAAAAAAAAAACAGTAACTGGAAGATCGGCCAAGCACAGGGGCAGCCGAGGGTCAGAGTGGACCACTGAGGTCTGATAAGCATCCATGTTGGTCTTCAGTTAATTCATTAAGGCTGGAGATGAAAACTATGAAAATGACCCTTTTCTTTCTGTGGCACAGATCAAAATCTTATGACGGGACTGTTTCAGATAGAGAGTGGGAGGGTAGGAGAATGCCTGGGGAAAACCAGTAAATATAGAAAGTGGTACCAAAAAATAGCTCCTGTGAGGAAAGCTTTTAAAAAAGGAATGGGGTTGTTTAGTCTGCAGAAAAGATGTCTTCACAGTGACTTAATGACTATCTTTGAGTAAACACAAGAGTAATACTCTTTTCCAGAACCACACCCTTGCCCGGGATCTGAGGCCGGGCTGCAGTTCCAGGTCTGTGCAGCCGGCCGACCGGAGCCCCCGCCCAGCACCCTAACGCCTCCAAACCGTATGGGGTCCCTGGCGGAAAATTAATTTTCTCTCTTCTCGGAGTGAGGGATATCGTAAAACAGGGTTTTCTACTATCCCCGAAAGCTGAGATGAAAAGAGGTCAGGTCATAAAACAGAATGGTTAAGAATTGAGGCTCCAGGCACAAGCAAGTGGAGTTCTTAAGCCTTCACTGAGTTATAGAGCCTCTCTGAACCTCAGTCTCTTCTTCTGCAAAATGGACATAATAGTGAGAGCTTCTTTACAAGAGCAAATGAAATGATGCTATGTGCCTGGTGCGATGGAACGAGGTCAGGAAATGTTAGTGGTCCCAGATGGAGCATTCCTGTCTGTGACCTTCTCAGCGTGGGGGTTCAGTGGGGGCTCTCAGGTAGCTCTCTACCAGCCATCCTGTGATCACTGCAGCTTGTAGCTGACTTCCCTGTGGTCCTGGCCACAACCCCATGGCGTCTCGATCACCTGCTAGAAGCATCCCCTGTGCAGCTTATAAACTCTCCCGATGCCCTGAATGGGTGGAGCCCAGCAGAGGACCACCGTGCCCACCAGGGACAGCCCCTTAGGTCGTGGTGTTCTTTGTCTGTCCCCTTGCTTCCATTTGCTATGCCTGGTCACTCCCTCCACTTCAGACCTCAGTTTCCCCAGAGGGCCCTCTCGGCTTTTTCTCTTTAAGCCCAGCAAGACTTTCTGACCGGGCCCAGACTTGAGCAACTCTGGGCCTTGGTGACCTCACCCAATTCCTCTTTATATGTGAAAAATCAGGCCACAGGCACAGGACCACAGGGCTCTAGGGGGTGACGGCGAGCACCGTCTAGGCTTCCAGAGCCAGAACGGCAAACCAGAGACTAATAGTGACCTGGCATTAAACAGAACATAAACACCAACGTGCCTTTGCTCTCCACAGAGGACCAAAGAGGAAGTCAGGCTTAAATTATAGCAAGGCGCAGGGCTGGGAGGAAGGCAGTTTTTAGGTGCAAGGAAGTCGACTTTGAGGGTAACTAAACTTAGAGACGGGCTCATTCAGGAGGCCGTAGAACCTCCATGTTTAGAAATAGAAGCAACAGCCCTGTCTTCGTTCAAATGCTGTTCTGCCCTAGGAAGAAGCTTCAACCAGGTGACCCCTGGGTACACCTTCTACTTCTCTTATTCTCTCATGCATTCAAAAGGCTGGGTTCTGCCTCACTGCCAGCATTTCCTGTAGCATTCAGAGAAATACCAAGGTGGTTGGGCTTCAGAAACTAAGTGGTGGCTGCTCTGACTTTTAAGAATTGGCAGTCACAGGGGAAAAATACGTCGACGTGATTGTAATGGCCTGCCTGTGTATACAGTTTTCTCTGCCCCTGCTGTTTTATAACTTAAGAAAACAGTCGTTATGGGGCAGGGCCCTTTGAGCAGACAGAAGAGATTTGGCTCCCAAGAGCCGCCCATTTTTATGCCGTCTTTCCTGCCAAATAGAATCGGGGGTCTAGGGAGAAATTAAAGGGGTAGCATAAGTACGATTTTATAGCCCCAGGTAGATAGTCTCACGTTTAACAAGGGACTTCTAGAAAAAAGTCAAACGCATACAGACTCCAGGGCGACTTGAGTAATGTTGACTTTTCTATTCACCCTTGAAGCCAGGGTGGGCCATCACGGCTAATTTTAGTATGCTGTTTTCTTCTTATTATTTGAACATCTTGACTCAAGGTGGGAACTTCTTTCTGGAGGAACTCTGCTCACAGCCACTTTCCACTGTGATGTAAAGGGAGAAAACTGCTTGTAATGCAGCCCCAAGTGGTCTCAAATCTCTGGATGAATAAGACCTCCCATTGTGGTGCCACGAATTCTGGGCAATTATGGCAAAATGGCATTGGAATGGCCAAGTCGAATCGTTTTGAAAAGTCCTCTTGTTTCATAGAATCAAAGAGTGCAAGAGCTAGGAGTGGCCTGAGAGAGCTTTCAGGATAATCACCGCACAGATAAGAGAAAGCAGCAGAAGGAAATGAAACAATTTTTCTAGGTTTAAAAGAAATAGTTGGTGAAGAAGCCAAAAATAGGATGAAGAGTTCCCAGTATCTATTCCTATACTCTTGTCCTCCATCTGCCTGTCCGTTCATCTGTTCATCTCTCTGTCTATACCATACCGTGTGCATAGTGTGTGTTGTAAGCTCTTTGACCTGACCTCAGAATCGTTGTGTTTAAAATGAGGAGCCAGGCCGGGCGCGATGGCTCACGCCTGTAATCCTAGCACTCTGGGAGGCCGAGATGGGAGGATTGCTCGAGGCCTTCAGGAGTTGGAAACCAGCCTGAGCAAGAGCGAGACACCATCTCTACTAAAAATAGAAACAAGTTAATTGGCCAACTAAAAATATATAGAAGAAATTTGCCAGGCATGGTGGTGCATGCCTATAGTCCCAGCTACAGAGGAGGCTGAGGCAGAAGGATCGCTTGAGCCCAGGAGTTTGAGGTTGCTGTGAGCTAGGCTGACACCACGGCACTCACTCTAGCCTGGGCAACAGAGTGAGACTCTGTCTCAAAAAAATAAATAAATTAAAATAAATAAACTGAGGAGCCGGCTTATGTGATTTTGCACATTTCCCAGCTCTAAGGTTGTCTAGCAAGGACAAATGGGAGTGCCTCATTTCAAGCATGGAGCCTTCGACTTGAAGCGTGCATGCAAGCTCAACTCACTCCACCTGCCATTTGGGTACTTAAGTCAAGCACTAAGAATAACAACCTGTGCCATAGCCCACCTGCTGGTTGTGCCCCTCTCCTCTTCCGTGGTGTTCAGTGGTGAAACTGTAGCACAAAGTGTATGCCAAAGAGAATGAAAAGTGTTTCTCATTGCTGACGGTGACTTGCTCTTTTATAGTAACTGAGCTGCCTGTTAAAAAGTCAAAATTGTTTTTTCCATATTCCATGGGATTTTTTGTTTTACATCTTAGACCAATATATAATTTATTAATTACTCAAAAATTAGCTTTATCCTGGAAAAAGAGCACCATCAAAAGGTATTCTCTGCCCAGGATGGGTTCTTGCAAGCAGCAATGAGGGCTCTGTTTTCCGTTAGCAGACGGAGCACTTAGAAGCTTGTTAATATATTGAAAGAGTCTTCTCTTTAAGCATGAACAATATAGTGAAAGGATTTTTTTCAAGAAAAGGATATTTGAGAGTTGTTTTTATGTATTTTTTACATTTCTGAGATCTAATGAAAAACTCCCACTCTCAGCCCATGCGTCTGTAATTAGGTGTCTCTGTGCTAATAGTGAGACACAGAAGCGTATTCTCTGCAGATATGTCTCTAAATAACTCAAATTCATGCATCGGCTCAGTGCCATGGAAATAGACCTTTCGCTAAGGAGAGGTGGAGCAGAGTGAGCAGTTGGAACCCTGCTGACCGTCGGGGGTTCCCGGCCTGGTGCTGTGAATGGAGCAGATGTCCGTCACATCTGGAACACTGAGAAATATAATTAAAAATTAGATTTTTTAAAAGAGGTCAATTAAAACAAATATTGGCCATTTCTGGGACAACTTCTGTCCTTGGGTTAAAGGAATTCTTCACAGTGACTACGTTCTGCTGGAGCTTTTGAGGTTCACAGGCAGGGATGGAAAGAGGAGCCACTGCTTCAAGCCTCTAGAATGCTCTGTGGGGCACCAGGCTCCTCGCTGACTAATCTTTTTTTATAGGGAGTTACAGTTAAAACATGTCTCTTGAAGGGCCTAACTCTTCAGCTCCCAGGTGCTTTTTAAAGTACTTAGTTGAGATTATGTCACACGGATATAATTTTTCTCTTTCTTTAAGGTTTTAAAACCAATGAATATAATTTGCTTCCATGGTTTTAAATGTAGATAGTGAACCTATTTTGTACATAAATATGAGAAATGGGATCTTTGTATATGGAGAGTATGCCTCAAATGAAGAAGAAAAATGTGTGAAAGGTAAACTTATGGTGATAATACACCTAAAAATACTGCAAATGAAGATTGTCCAGAAAAGAGTGGGACAAGCTTCATAGTTATTGGTTGCTCTTATGATTAACACTTTGTTCTTTTTTAAAACCTTATTTTCTCTTAATGATAAAAATACCTGATAATAACAATAACTAACGTTAGATGGTGTTAATTACTTGCCAAACACCATTCAGAGTACTTCAGACCTATTAATTTATATATAATCATTGAAAGAATGGATAAGGAAATTGAGGCAACAAAAAGTTGAGTACCTTGCTCAAGATCACAAAACTAGGAAGCCAGGCTTTAAACCAAGCAG